TAAATTTTACTACTCACATTTTATTCAAATGGCTTATATAAGATAAAAAAAAACCATCAATAGATACGCTGTTACAAGAAAATTAAAAAGGTAAGGTAAAGGCCCTCCCGTTGATCGTCGATTTGCTCGAGCGGGCCCAGTAACGTCTCCATTGGAGACTTTGTTGTTACTGTGTTTGGCATATCGAATACTCTCGGTAGCTTGCCAGGCTCTCCGAGAGGGGCGGAGGAATCGAACTCGGGTCGGCCATGTTGGCCGCTTGTAAGGCGAACGCCCTACCGCTATGCTATCGTTCCAGTGGCGCAATGGATCAGGGCCAGTGGCGCAATGGATAACGCGTCTGACTACAAGAAAATTAGGAACTAAGATTAATGTTCCTGGACCAACGAAACAAGGCCTATGTGAAGACTCTGTGTCCTTTAAGATTCATTTACAAGGACATTTTTTGGAGCTTAAATAAATCCTTATTCACCATTGTGACTTTCTTAAATTCCATAACTGAATGTGAACTCCTTTCTACTGTCTACTCGGTGATGCAGGAGAGTTACTGGAGACTGGTGGAAAGCATTACTGAGACTCAAATGGTCAACACCTCTTAAAAGCTCAACAAATCCCAAGTAGTACAAATATTAAGAGAGAATTATATCATGTGGTCTGCTGGTTTCTGATGAGAGAACATTTGTTATATTCCTATGTCCCTGTCTGTGATTATTTGCTCCTATACCACTGTCATAAAATTTTATGTAAGTTTTGCCAATGTTCTCTCTTAATATCCAGAAAAAAAACTGTCTTGAAAAATGAAAGCAAAATGAAAACATTTCCAAATAAAAAAAAGCTGAGAAATTGTTGCTAGGGGACTGCTCAAAAAAACAACTGAAGAAATTTCTTGAGATTGAAATAACACCTGTAGCTCTCCTGAGGCCCAAAGTCTCCACTCTGCTCTCAGAACTTCAGTTCTATAAAAAATAAAACAGATGTTTTACTGTATCTTGAAACCACTCGCTGAAGGTGACTATATTTCCTAGTCATTAAAGAAATCTTCAATGAATTTCTGTTAGCTTCTTTAAACATAACTATTGGTAACAAAAATTATGCCACCATACTCTTTGGTTTATAATGTGCTGGATGTAATATACATCAACTGTATCAACCCTAAGTGTGTGTCCAGGATGGGCACAGAGCCCCCAAAGGGCCAATTTGGCTATAATACAGTCAGTTTTAATGAAGTAAATTGTGATTTTAAAAAAAGATGTTTACTACTATTCCTTAAGACATTTTTAAAATAATAAAAAAGTTATGCAAAAAAAACAGAACAGAAAATTTTTGTATCACGGTTTCACGGTTCTCCCATTATTCATCAATTTGTTCTAGCGGACCCAGTAACGTCTCCATTGTGTGACTTGTTGTTACTGTGTTTGGCATATTGAATACGTCACGGGTAGCTTGCCAGGCTTTGCCGTGCAAGCGAGATACTCTTGGTAGCTTGCCGGGCTCTCCGAGAGGTGCGGAGGAATAAAACCCAGCTCAGCCGGGCTGGCTGCGTGCAAGGCAAACACCCTACCGCTGTGCTATTGCTCCAGCCCAGAAAATTTTTAAATGGAGGCAAATAGAAAACAAAACAAATGAGAGTTATAAGCCAAACGGATAATTATGAATTAAGTACTCAAAAAGCACAGACTTTCTGGAGTGAATTAAAAATAAATAAGATCCAATTATGTACTTTATTTACATAAATAAATATGGGCTGGAGCGATAGCACAGCGGGTAGGGCGTTCGCCTTACAAGCGGCCAACATGGCCGACCCGAGTTCGATTCCTCCACCCCTCTCGGAGAGCCCGGCAAGCTACCGAGAGTATTCGATATGCCAGACACAGTAACAACAAAGTCTCCAATGGAGACGTTACTGGGCCCGCTCGAGCAAATCGACGATCAACAGGAGGGCCTTTACCTTTACCTTTTTATGTACTTTATTTACAGAAATTAAATATATTATTTAGTTCAAAGATTCAAATAACGTTTTACTCAGAAAATATATGCTGTGCTAACACAAAACATAAAGAAAAACAGAAGAAATAGAATAGCTATATATTCACATCAAGCAAAATATAGACTTAATGCAAAGACTATTTCCAGAGACATAGATATTTTATCGAGAAAAAACGATATACAGCAGAAAACAATACTTAAAAAAATGTTACACAGTAGTTAATAAGCAGAGTCACAAAGTAAATGAACGTTTTACCCAGAGGAATCTGTTGAATGATGTATGTGATGTATAAATCTATGACTACAATAAAATATAAAGTGGATCCTATGTAACACATAAAGGTGACAATTCTAAAACTTGAGAACTCTCTCAGCTACTGATGTGTGTCTTTACTGAATGCTGCTGGGCTTCCATTTCATTTGTTGTAAAGTAAAGTAAAGGCCCTCCCGTTGTTCATCGATTTGCTCAAGTGGGCCCAGTAACGTCTCCATCATGAGACCTGTTACTGTGTTTGGCATATCAAATACGTAACGGGTAGCTTGCCAGGCTCTGCCGTGCGGGCGAGATACTCTCGGTAGCTTGCCGGGCTCTCCGAGAGGGGCTGAGGAATCGAACTCGGGTCGGCCATGTTGGCCGCTTGTAAGGCGAACGCCCTACCGCTGTGATGTATAAACTAAAGGAGTTGGACCTTCTGCAGCACACAACAGTGTATTTCATTTATGTCTAATAGTGCTCCTAATATAGTAAGCGGCCCAACAATATTTTAAGAAGGCAACCTGGACCTAGACCTATCAAGATAAGAAAATTACCTTACAAAAAAGATGTAGTTTTTTTTTTAAATAAAAAAGCAGGGATGATGAGACAGTATAAGGGCTAAGGTGCTCGCCTTGCACACAGCTGGCCCCAGGTCAGTCTCCAACACCACATACAATTCCAAAAGCACTGCCAGGTGTGATCCTTGAGCACAGAGCTAGAAGTAAGCCTCACCTTTCCCTCCCCCAAAAACAAAACAAAAATTGAGAGCAAGTGTACATGGTTGGGCTTGAGGTGTCACATATATGACCTCTGGGCCTCACGGGATGGAGGTGGAGCCGGCCCTTTCCTCCTCGTCCCAACAAGATCCTGAGTCGCCGCCAACAAACAGCCTCTCTGGTTCCTGATCAAGCCTCTTAATAGCCACCAGAGACTCAGAAACAAATCTCGGAACCCAGAGGCTTTTGGCAGAAATGCGTCTGGACCATGCAGTAGGTTACTGTCACCCTGCCACCCCAGGGGGGAAAAGGTGCTGTCTCTCCACCTGCTCCCCCTAGGCGGCTTGGTGGCCACCATCTTCCAGAGGCCACTGGACAGTTTAGAGGCCACTGAACAGTCAGGTTTGGGCCCGCAGTGACGAGACACATGGGGCCTCACGGGATGCGAGTGGAACTGGCCCTTTCCTTCCCGTCCCAATGGGACCCCAAGTCACCACCCACAAACGGCCTGTCTCCTGATCAAGCCACTTAATGGCCATGATCCCAGAGACTCAGAAACAAATCTCGAAACCCAGTGGCTTTTGGCAGAAATGCATCCGGAACCCACAGTTGGTTAGCAGCTCTGGGCCAACCCAGGTGGGAATAGGTTTCATGCCTTGGCCTGATTCCCCTGGCAGCCCGGTGGCCGCCATCCTCCAGAGTCCACTGAACAGTCAGGTTTGGGCCCTCATGGGATGGGGGTGGACCCGGCCCTTTCCTCCCCGTCCCAACAAGACCCCAAGTCACCAACCATGAATGGCCTCTCTGGCTCCTGAGTAAGCCGCTTAACGGCGATTATCCCAGATACTCAGGAACAAATCTTGGAACCCAGCAGGTTTTGGCAGAAACCCCTCCAGATTTAATGGTTAAAATTTTGGAATTTCAAAATCGCGTGGTCACTGCTGCAGCCACGCGACATCATATGTTATTCATAACCAGCAATAGAAAGCAAATTGTCTACTGTTGCCTTTTCGGCAGATCTGAGTGTTGGGGTAAAATCCCAAATAATATTGGTGGGCGTGGTGTCAAAATATCAAATGTAATCAAAGTAGAGAGAGTAATGTGGAAATCATCTGCCCCACAGGTAGGGGGAGGGTGTGAGGGTGTAGGATGGGGGTAGACTGGGGTTTTTGGTGGTGGAGAATGGGCCCTGGTGAAGGTACGGGTGTTTCATTGTATGACCGAGACTTAGACCTGAAAGCTTTGTAACTGCTCTCACAGTGATTCAATAAATAAAATTAAAAAAAATTGTAAGGTGCAGTTCATGCCCAATTCAATCAGCCTAATCAGTGGATGAATAAACAGCAGTACTCCTACATGCTGAAAGTAGGCTATAGACCGAACATGATTGCCACTCAATTCCTCTTTTGTAAACCACAGCACCCGAAAGGAGAGAGAGAACAAAAGGGAATGCCCTGCCACAGAGGCAGGGTGGGATGGGGGGGATGAGGGGTAGGAGGGATACTGGGATCCGTGGCGGTGGAAAATGGGCACTGGTGGAGGGATGAGTGCTTGATCACTGTATAACTGAAACCCAAGGCAAAAATTTGTAAGTCTACAACTGTACCTCATGGTGTTTCACTAATAAATTTTTTTTAAAAAAATGTTCTTAAATAGAAGACAGGCTACAGTTCAGGGAAAAGCATTGGTATAGAGAACAGACCTCAACCGCATAGGATTTCAGTTTCACTTCCAGAGCTTGTGCTAGTTTCCTTCTCTGAGCTAGCGAATGGCTCATCGCTCTGTCACTGAAATCCAGACACCTTCCATCCCAGGAATACTTGAGTAAACACAAGTATTGAAGATTTAACATTGAGGCCTGAGAGGTAACGCAGTGGGGGTAGGTTGTCTGCCTTGCACGCAGCTGACCCAGGTTCAACCCTGGGTATCCCATATGGTTCCTTGAACTTGCCACAAGTGATCCCTGAGCAGAGCCAGGACTAAAGCCTGTGCATCGCCAGATGTGGCACAAAACCAAAAACAAAAAATGATTCAACACTCACCTGCCCTCCTTAACTTTATGTGCATCCCCTCGGCATACAAAATTTTCAATGTAACCTTCACTGCAGTTGATTTTTGACCAATCTGGGTCACAAACATATAAAAAGTGAGGCCTTAGTCTGCCTATTGAATATTTGGCAATGTCAGTCAGAGACTGACTACAAGCCGCACCAAATAAAAATGTTCCAATGGCTTTGTAAATAGTGGCCACATAGTTATTCCTGACAAAGGAATTTGAATGCAGGTGATTAAAGTAGACACTTAGGGATTCTCCAATAATCATCTGGAAAAAAAAAGAAAAAGAAAAAATATGTTAAAGTAGCAACCTGGCATTTCATTGTATTTAAGTATAACTGACATGTAATATTACATTAGTTTCATTCAAATAATCATCATATCTGTACACAGTGCAAATTTATTATTGCTATTAATACATCCAGTTAACACTGTCATCATAGTTATGTTTTTCCTTATAGTGAGAATATCTACACTTAGTAATTTGCAATATGCAATATTAACTGTAGTGGAGAATGCTATATCCCCGTCTCATTCACTTTAAAACCAGAAATTTGGGATAAGAGAAACAGTACAGCAGGAAAAATATTTGCCTTGCATGTGGTTAACCCATGTTCGATCCTTGGCACCCCGTATGTCCCCTAAGCACTGCTGGGAGTGATCCCTAAGCACAGAGCCAGGAGTAATCCTGAAACAAAAATGGTTGTAGCCCAAAAATTAAAATTAAAAAGCTGATAAAAAAGGAAAAAAGTCGAAAAGGTTTACAGTTTTTGACAACCCCTTCACCCATTTGCCTATCTAAAATGCAATCAGTCAATTTAAAGTAAAAAAACAAAGGAAGATGATAAATTACAATAAAATCTGTTTTAAAATATCTGCCTTTCTTTTACCAACGAAAACCAATGAGTGATAAAAATACTTAGGTTAGGGACTGGAGTGATAGCACAGCGGGTAGGGTAGACTTGCATGCGGCCGACCTGCCAGGAGTAATTCCTGAGTGCAGAGCCAGCAGTAACCCCTGTGCATTGCCGGGTGTGACCCAAAAAAGCAAACAAACAAACAAAAAACCCTTAGGTTATAAATCACAAAAAAGATAACCGAAGGTACTGCTTACAAAGCAATGGGAAATAAAAAGCAGTACTCCTACATTGTAGCACTGTAGCACTGTCCTACCATTGTTCATTTATTTGCTCGAGTGGTCCAGTAACGTCTCCATTCTGAGACTTGTTTCTGTGTTTGGCATGTTGAATACATCACGGGTAGCTTGCCAGGCTTTGCCATGCGGGCAAGATACTCTTGGTAGCTTGCCGGGTGCTCCGAGAGGGGCGGAGGAATCGAACCTGGCTCGGCTGTGCTGGCTGCATGCAAGGCAACCACCCTACCGCTGTGCTATCACTCCTACATTAAAAAAAAAATGGTAGAGGGCGGGAGCAATAGTTCAGTGGGTAGGGCAATGGCCTTGCTCGTGCGGGTATCAATCCCCGGAATCCCATATGGTCCCCCAAGCACCGCCAGGAGTAATTCCTGAGCATCGCTGGGTGTGACCCAAAAAGAAAAAAAAATGGAAATCTTGATGGGAGAAAAAAAATCTCATTTCTTTTGTATTTAAATATTACTAAGCTTTAATAAGTTAAGCAGTGGTGATTAAGCAGTGGTGATTATAAAGGATAAAAGCAATGGGTTTTTTAAAAATTAGTTTTCCAGTTAGAATATCCCTTACATAAAATTTTTCTGACAGTCTTAATTCTTATCAAGCATTTCTCTCAATTAAAAATACACACTGTATATAAAAGAGTGGAAAGGCTTCAGGAAGTAAATAATATGACATTTACTTCAGGAAGTAAATATCTTTTATGACATTCAGGAAAAAGGGGCCAAGGACAGACTGATGAACAGTGACAGGACCTATCAGTCCCTCTGCAGGAGACTGTCACAGGTTCATTAACAGTCCGTCCATACATATATCTTATTCTATCCATTCCAAGAAAAGATTTCAACTCTCCTAGTTTCATTTTTTTTTTTTTGCCGATTTTTGCAGAATTAGATCTTTCCTAAATTCTGAAGAGTTGAATACATAAGCACACACCAATACGGCAAACTGAACTGCCTAACAAAATTTCCAGATACTTTCTAAGTTCACAGACCAACATCCTGCTACACTGAAAGAATACTGAATAGCAACACTATTTTAAAAATTAGATAAACTGATATCTGGTTGCTAACTTATGTTGAGGTGAAGAGAATACAAGTGACAGAGTTTTACTTGAGATGCACCTAGTTTGGGGTGGAGAGAGAGCTCAACTTGCTGTGGCTCACGCTATGCATGCTGGGGCCTGTACTTAATCCCTGGCATGACTGGGGTCCCCTTTAGCAGAGAGCAATCCCCAAGCACCTCAGGTATGGTCCAAAAATCGAACCCTCCCTCCAAAAGTAGACAGTGTTAAACACTAATTTTCAGAATTCATCTTATTAGACAAAAATCATCTTATCAAGCATTCATACATTTCAATTTAGTCAGAATTAATTGTTTCCAGCATGAGTCTTACCCTAAGATGAAAATAATGGATGCCTCTTAAAAGGAAACTTAAAAAAAAAAATCTTTCCTCACCCGGCTCAGCGGTTCCTAGAATTCCATAATTAAAGTTTTAAAACTCTAACAATGAGGCCCGGGGAAAATGTACAAAGGGCTAGAGATCATGTTTTACATGCACAAGGCCCAGGTTTGCTCCCCAGCAAGTCTCCATCCCCTAAGGACTGCTGGGAATGACATAGCCATCCCTCCCAAGTCCCACACCAGAGTAGCTCCCAAGCATGAGGCGTGGTCCCAAAACAAAACTCTCGGGGCCTGAGAGATAGTATAGCAGGTCGGGTGCTTGCACTGCACATGGCTGACTCCGGGTGTGATTCCCCAGCACCCAATATGGTCGCACAAGCCCTTCCAGGAGTGATCCTTGAGCACAGAGCCAGGAGTACGCCCTGAGCACTACTCTGTGTGGCCCCAAAACAAACACGCACACATACACACACACATACATTAAAAAACAAAAACAAACTGACAGCTGTATCATGAATTCTAGAAAAGCAGAAATGAAATTCTGTTGTTTTGAAATTACATCCAGGGAGTCCTCCATCTTTAATCCCCAGAGTGCTGTTTTAGCCAGATGGACAGAGTGTTGTGAGCTTGTTCAGTGGGAGAACCAGTGAATCATCCAGTGAAACCACACATTTCTGTGGGTAGAAAGATGTGAGCAATTAAAGATACCTCTCTGAAATACTTTTAAAAGAACCTAATCAAGTCTAAGATTCTCAAATGGTAAAGCTGAATGGAAGTGTTGGTAACTTTGGTGACAAAAGTTGGAGATACCACTGTGCCACTTAATGAGTCTGAATCCCAGTGTAATTGCTTGGCCACATGTTGATTTCTCACCTCACTCACAGTACCCTAAGTAACAAGAAGCACTGTTGGCCCCTGAAGTCTGTAAAAGGATCTTCAGAATTTCTTCATGAATAAGATATTTAGACTGTTGAATAAAGGGCCCGAGAGATTGCTTAATGGGGAGAGCACATGCTTTGTAAGCATAAGTGGAGGCCCAGTTTAATCCTTAGCACCACATGTCCCCCCCCTTCCACACACACACACTGCTGATTATGGTTTTTTTAAAAAAAAAAAAGAATAAGCAAACAGCTGTAGAATACCCAAATTAGTAGAAAAATCTGCTGAGTAGCCAAATCTGCTGATGTATATCCAATAACTCTAATTCTGAAACAAATATCCAGGGTTAGGGGTCAAGTCCAGCTCAGCTGAGTGCTCTCAGCTCAAGGTTTCTTAGAAAATTGCCCTCAAGCTATTGAGTAGGGCTGTGGTTTCATCTAACAGCTTATTAGGTGATGGTGCTGGTTTCTCTGAGGCTCTCTCTAGTGACTGATAGGTCTCAATTACTTGGCAGTTGGGCTTTTTGTTGTTGTTGGATTTGAGGGCCACACCCAGCAGTGCTCAGGGCTTACTCCTGACTCTGTGCTCAAGGATCACTCCTGGCAGGCTCAGGAAACCATATAGGGTGCAGGGGATAGTGTCTGGGCTGACCACGTGCCAGGCAAGCACCCTACCAACTGAACTATCATCTATAACACAGAAGTTGGTATTCCCCTGGGGCAGTGATAGAAAAGACAGAGAATCTGGAACAGAAGTCAACTTTCTCCTATGTTATCTCAAAAGTAATATGTCACTTGGCCACACACTATTCATCGAAGTGGTCCAGGGCTGGAGAAATAGCACGGAGGTTCTATGGCACTTGCCTTGCATATGGCTGATCCCAGTACCATCCCTGGAACTGCATGGTGCCCAAAGCACCACAGAGCCTCCAAGCACTACTGGGCGAGGCCAAAAGCAAAGAAAGAAAGAAAGAAAGAAAGAAAGAAAGAAAGAAAGAAAGAGAGAGAAAGGAAAGGAAGAGAGAGAGAGAAAGAGGGAAAGAGAGAAAGAGGGAAAGAGAAAAAGAGAAGTATAAAGGGGAAGAGAGATGGCACAGGTTTGCCTATGACAGCGTCATTATGTAGGGTGTCATTATGTTGCCAGTGACTTGTCGAATGAAGAACAAGGGAGGCAGATTCAGGAAAAGACTGCTCCCACCTCTGCTCAAGCCACCTCAGCCACCAGTGCTTGATGAAATGCCTGGTGTGGGTCAAGACTGGTAAAATCTGCGATGGCACGGACATTCACGTTCTGCCAGCCTCACGAGGCAGCCATCAAGCTGTGCCTGGAGTCCACTTGTTCTGCTCGGTGTGGGAGATGATTCCTACCACTTGATTCCTCAGGGAGCTGTGGACTCAAGGTGAGGAACTGCTCTTTGCAGGAGAGGAAAGTCAGTCCTGACTTCGACACAGGCTTTTGGGTCTATCGCCTTCCCTCACTGAAAAGATTTTCAGAGGGAAGTGAAATATTGTAGCTGGTAGGTTTTACTGAAACTTCTTTAGAAAGATGTGAGGGGAGAGAGAAAATACAAGAGAGATTCTACATGTTCGAGAGAGAATGCAGGCTTCTCTAGAGCAGAAATAAGCAAGCAACAAGACCTGGAGACAAGCAAGTGGGGCATGTGTTCAAGGGAGAATACAGGCTGGAAGAGCAAGCTGAAATTGTTCTTGAATAGAAAGTTGGTATCTAAAAGCAAAGTAGATGATGGTCAATAAATTTTAACTGAAGATGCTCTCTTGGGCAAGTGGTAAACACTCTTAGCTGAAATACTTTAAAAGCCCCACAGGAATGTACTCCTCCTGTAAATTATTTCATTAGATTCTTTCCCCTGAAAACAGGAGTAATAGAAAAGATAAACCATATGTACTCTTAGGGACATTATACTTTTACAATTTCCACATATACTTCCACACTGGATCACCGGGATGCCTTCAGTGGCCTTGTAATAAAGGATACATGGTCCCAGAGGCTGTTAAAGTGTTCCAGCAAATGTCTGGACTACTCAGATTTCTCTGTTGCATTATGGAACTGATCTTTGATACTATAGGATATAAGCTAATCAAGCCACAGCTGGAGCAGATGACACCTGCACATCTTACAGCTATACCTATATAAGCTCTTAGCTATTTTTCAGAAATAAGACTTCACTTTTGTGAGTCTGTCTAGTCATAATGCACATCATTTAGAACCACCCAAACTAAGTCTGGTTTTGGCCACTGCTGCTAGTAAGTCAGCTGACCGGGAGCATTTGGAGAGCACTGCGCACAGACTGAAGGGGACCCATGAAGTAGTGTAAGGCAAAAACCTAACTCTTAGTACTGGAGAAATGTGGGACATGAAAGCTGACGATTCTAGGTCAACTTGTATCATCTTTAGTATGTACTCCATCCTAAGTCAATTCTCGATTTAAGATAGGACTGTTTCTGTGTTTTGCCTGTACAGGACAGTCAAATCTTTTTGTCTGGCACCTTATCTTTCTCGTCGACTCATTTATGCCAATTCATAGTTTTTGGTGTAGTCCACATTTTAGCTAACTTGTGGTCTCATCTTTGAGCTGGAGTGACTTGTCACTGCTATTTACTGAGAATCTAAAGACAGAATAATTATCAAAGAACTAATGAAATGGTGGGGGAGTAAAACAATGTATTATTAAAGATCAAAGCAAATACTTATCTGTCAGTGTGACTCATTTACAGCATATTCCTCACTATCTTCTTTATATCTATATCCTCTAACCAAAGTGACTTTTATATATCCCTTCCACATCACAACACTTATGTGTCTTCTGATCAAAGATCATCCTTCTCAAAAAATAGCCTAAAACCACTGGAAAGTTTAATCCTTCTTAAACATCTTTAACTCCAATCTCTTTATTCTCCTGAATCTCTCTTGAAGTCAGATGGTGTCATTAAATCATATTTTTAACCATCCTCATCATTTTAACTTCTCAGTACTATTTTACATTACTAACCATTTTCTCCTCACTGAAATTCTCCCTTGCCCTCTGAGAAACGTTATTAGTTCTTTACCAGGTTTCCTCAATCACTAATATATGTGTGGATAGTGTGCAAGTCACAACAGAGGCATAATAGAAAATTTGAATCATACTGGCTCAATAAATGATTTGATTTCTGGTTAAAAAAATTTACACAGACACAGGCCAAACTAAGTGCTACCTGAAAGTTGTGTTAATGAATAGAAGTACTTTAGGAAGGGCCAGAAAGAAAGTACAATGGACACATGCCTTGCATGAGGCAGACCCAGGTTCAACCCCCATCATCCTATATGGTTCCCCCAAGCTTGCTAGGAGTAATTCCTAAGGGCAGATCCAGGAGCAACCCCTGAGCATCACTGGGTGGGGCCCCAAAACCAAATAAAAAAACAAATAAAATTTATTTTAGGAGCTGGAGAGAGAATGCAGGGGTTAAGGCACTTGCCTTGCCTTAACCCTAATTTGATCCCTGACACCACAACCCTGAGCCCTGATAGGAGTGACTCCTAAGCAAAGAGCCTGAAGTAAGCCCTGAGCAAGGCAGGGTATGGTCCAAAAACCAAAAAAAAAAAAAAATCTTAAATTAGTGCATAAATTAGTGCAACAAGTTTTGGCTGAGAGCTTTGCTGGGGCCTCCCCTGCTGCAGCAGGCTGTGCAGTACACTGGGAGGCCTGGTAGCTAGTGGTTGCCTGGTTACCGCCTTCCAGACAAGCTTCTCCTCTATAGCACCTGACACATAAAGAAAAGTAGACTTCAAAGTCAAGTACATTTGTAGCGAAGTTTGCTTCAGCACTTGAATCCGATTGGAAATTAGCTGCTATCTGCAACTAAGAGTCCCACTAAAAAAATTTATGTTGACACACTAATCTGTCAGAACCAGACAGACTTCAAAAAATAGGCCTGCAATGACTGCCTCTTTAATGGAAGAATCACAGACTTGGCTGGCTTCCTTCTGGTAGCAGAACCTCAGCATAAAGGTTCTCTAGGTTTCCTAAGACTTCTTGGTACTGCAGAAGTCCCTGACATGACAGCACAGTTTCTTTCTTCACTTTGACCCTAGTCCCTATAACCTCTGATGCTCCATGGCAGGCAGCAAAGATAGCAAATACCAGAAACTATTTCAGCTTTCAAGAAGCTCAGTTTTGTGAAACAAACATTCACATAATAATATTTCCTTTTACTAGTTATAAGCTCCACAAATTATGGGTTATCTTTTAGTGCCAAGAAGAAGTTGTGTTCCTTCTTGAATGAGATATTAATTACACCATGTAAGAAATGGTATTTTAAAAGTAAATTCCTTATATACATATAATTATCATCTTGTTCTAGATCCTGCAGAGGACCACATTTGTACTTTTAACTAGCAGAAATCTCTTTTTGTTGTTTTGTTTGGGGCAATATCAGCAGTGATCAGGGGTTACTCCTAGAGCATGTTTGGGGGTCACTCCTGTTGGTCATACAGTGCCAAGTATAGAACAACCCAGGCATCCTGCATGCAAATTATGTGCTCCAGTCCTTTAAGCTGTTTACCTGGCCCTATACAAAATATGATTTAAGTTACAAGCTATGGAGCATAAAATCATTTCATTTAAATCATGGATCTCTAGGTGAAAACCTGAAAAGATTACCTATGTTACTAAGTAGCTATGTTACTCTTGACTTTCAGTGAAGCTGTTTTGTTTTCACAGTTTATATATGAACTTGGAGCTTTCTCTCTTATTTCTGAGCGCGTTCATGCCAGTCCACAGATGTACAAAAGTTGAAACAGGCTAAGTGATGTCTCAACATTTGCTGACAAATTTTCTTTTCTAGAACCCAGGAACTAGAAAGAAGGTACATACACAGCTACAATAAAATATAAATAATATCTCAGGCATATATTATGCTAGAAATATACTTAGCATGATTGTATGATTACTGAAAAGTAAAACACAGCTCCAAAATTTACAATGACTTTTCAGCAAAGATTAACATAAAACATGAACATTTTTAACTCTTTTGACCTCTTAAAAATAGCTGAAATGATCTTCAAGTAATACCATCAACTATAGGTTTTAAAGGAAAAAAACATTGTTTTGGAGGATTATACATTCAATCATTAACAGATTAACACAAAATTAAGTCAACTGTCCAAAAGTGAGAAACTTGGAAAAGTGGATTTAACTTACAACGATAATACTGAATGGAATGACTATTCCACCTAATAACGCATAAGATATGGTGTCTTCTTTGTAAGGGTACTTGATGGAATCATCATTACAGAATAATCCTCGTTGGAAGGGGGTATGCCTTGAAGTAAGAATTGCAAAAGGCAATCCAGCTAGTAAAGGGAATAAATGAAAATATCATTAAAAAATAACACAATTTATCAATGGCAATAATAATTCCAGAGACTGAGCTTTAAAATGCATTTGCTGTGAAAATGAGAGCACATGTTAAAAGGCAATGCAGCAATGCATGCAACAGAATTCAGAAAGGTGACAGCTTAGGGTAAAGATCATTTTCTATAGGAAACAAGGCTTCCAAATCCTCTACTAATCAACTGAACCAAAAGCATCATTTTGCTTTTGTTTCTACCAAAAAGCACTAAGTTTAAAAGGAGAAAAAAATTCTTTTCATGATCTTGTCATTTAATCATAGGACTTTCAACATTATTTTTAAACCAATGTATTGGGCAGCATTTGCTTCCAAAGGCAAAAGAGCATTCTGCCATTCCCCATTTTGCCAGTCACTACTAATTTTTTTACTCCCGCATCAGATGGGTAATGTGTCAAGTGCATAACAAGATTTAAGGGAAGCACATGTCACACAAGCATGTGAACACCCAATCACCATACTTATAAACCGGAAAGGGATCCTCACTACTACATTTACACTGGTCACGGTCACTAGCTATCAGAGTGCCTAAAGAAAGCTTGATGTACTCATTTCTGTACTGATGACAATCAGTGTAAAAAGAACTGTGTGAAAAAGGAGTCCAAACTTAAACCAACTTTCTTAAAAAAAAATTGGGCTGTAAAAGCAAAACAACACCTAGAGGACAGCTCTGTTTTCATTATCAGTTCTTTCCCCATAAAGATCATTTCTTACACTCTCCTAAAATGTTTCCATTTTACTTAAGTGTAATGTTAATTTTTTAAATTTTGAAAATTCAATTCTCCTTTAGTGAATTTGCCATGTGAATATTGCAGCATACTGACTAATACCACTGTTTGAAAGAGTTTAGCAGACACCTTCAACGTGAGGGCAGCCTAGCCTTTCCCAAGTAGGGAAGGTATTCTCCTGAAGAGATATATCCTCCCAGTAGTTCTATTGTTCTTTTGAAGCACCAAGGTTTGAGGATCATTACAGTTCTTAATTGTTCTACTAAAGTCCCAAAGACCAACTGATAACCAAACCCTTGGCCCTCTGCCTGAGCACATTTACCACAAATACAAACTCTGCTCCATTTAAAGAGGCAAAATGAGGACCCTGTGCATGCTGCTCCACCATCCAGATGAGCTTGCCTCCGGCTGACATCACTTGGCCTGTTCTGAAACTGAAGGCCGAGTCCCATCCCTACTGGGTGGGTCCCAGCAGCCTCCAACAACACACCTGTGCCCACACCACAGCTCTTTCCTGACCTTCTGCCTCTGCTGCTCCATCACCCCAGTTATTCTTTGGTCATTCTATAAGAAAGAGCAGAGAAGACAGAGCAATCTCCAGCTTAACCCTTCAGCATCCTCCGGGTGGGTTAACTACAAAGACTTATCACCAGCACAGCAAGAATCTGTTGGAAAATCAATTGGTGTGTGAATGAGTGGGTTGAAATTAGAGGCAGGTGCTTTACCTCTTATAAAACCTCTCTAATCCCAGGGCTGTTTTTAAAGTTATACTAGAGTTGCCTACATCTCTTAGCTGAATTCAGATTGTCCTCTCATTCACCAAAATGGTTTCAATCAGTGGAAGGGGATGAAATATGCAAATCTTTAAATATGAATACCAAATTGTAATACAAACCATTTGTATCTTTCAGAACATACTGTGGAAGTGAACATTCAGAGTTGTGATTTCCACTGTTGCCTGCCATGTACAGATACTAAACACTCCAGTTTGACCAAATCTAACCCAAGGAGAAAATTCACTTTTTATTTACCAAGAATCACGGCTTCTATAACTAATTTTACTTGTAAGAACTCTATATATAATATAAACTTTCAGTTCCACTGTTTACTTCTGAACTTAATTTTTAAATGACCATTTTCTTCTTTTGAAATTAAAAAAAGAGACTTTTATTACAGAAAACAACATATAAATAATTTAGCACCCAAATCAGTTTTTCTCAGGAAAACTTCATATTGATAGTGACAAAGGTCCTTTCATATGTTCTCAACAAGCATTAAGTATTTTCCTTTTAAACACAAAAGTTGCTTTAGAAATTAATTTTATATTTGGGGGGAAGCTTACGGGTAAATTTTAGGATGAGAGAAAGAAAATAAAATTACAGAGACATCGTTTTATGAAAGATGAATATTAAAGTGAGAAAATATTATGTGAATGCACTGCACAAGAGATTCTACCAGGAAAACAAAGTTGAATATGACATAGTACTAAATTGTATCAGAAAATAAACTGAGATCCAAAGAGCGAAGAGATAAGAGTTAAAGAGAACTGGTAATGTCTCAATTTGCAAAAAAGCCGAGGAGCCAGAGGAGGACAGATAAGACAGAAATCTGAAGGTGTCAGATAAGACAGAAATCTGGGGCTAGAAAGAATCTCTAAAGTCAGAGAGGTCTAAGAAATTGTGCAGAAGTGGAAAGTGGAGGGAGTGGAGGGTAGACCATAGACAACAGCAGTGTGAGAAAGGGAGGAACAGAATAAGAAGATCCACTGAGGCAGACTAATGAGCAGAGGACAGTGACATGGCTAAAGCCAAGTTCAGAGACAGCATTTGAGAAAGTAACAACTGGACACAGGGACCAAGGGGTTTTTAACTGCTTATACTGGGGGTGGGGGAGAGAAGGGGAAACCAGACCAGAGGTTTCAGTAACACCTGATTAGAAAATAACCATTAATCTACCACAAACGTATACTGTTCCTTGAAGAATTTGAAAGAGCATCCCACTGAAAGTCTTTAAAAAATGTATAAGTTCACAACAATTAACACTTGTGCTCTCTCATAAAAGTCCATGAGATGTAGTTTCACATCGATACCATTGCCCAGTGCCAGTTCATTTTCACTAATCAACTAAACCTGAACGTAGATCCCCACAGGTGGGAAGAAGACCAACTGTCATTTGTACATGGGCCCTACTTAACATTTAAAAAGATAAATTGGTCCAGATTTCTGCTCTGGGATTTTAGAATTGGAACAAAAATTAGCTTGATGAGAGCTGCAAATAGCACTGGATCATCTTATGGAAAGGCTGATGAAGAGACTGAGAAAAAAGTAGGCCTGCAGAAAAACTACAAGGGACCAGCCTAACCTTAAAAGTGAGAAATTAAGATTACAATACTGTTCTCTATTGCTAAAAGGTCTCACTGATCTTACTGGTCTAGGGTTATTACAAATATTCCTTTCAGCAAAACCCAGTATTACTTAAGTCAGAAAGGAACTGTACTCCCTGTACCAAGAGGGCCATAACAAAGGGAAAAACCCTTATTTTGATAACATGTGCATTACTACCAATTTTTATTGGTAGTAATACTGCTATAGCAAACATTTTCAAACACCAACCATCATGTTTACACTTATATTTCCTCAGAGTACGTGTCATAAGGAAATATAAGTCAAAAGATGTGTGTGTGTCTGTTCTTGAAAAACTTCACCAGAGAAGTTATTTTACTCCACATAGCCACAATGTACAGAAGTATGGAGAAATGTAAAATTTAAAATGTGAAATGCCATTTTCCCTTCCCTTCAATGACCATATTGCTGGAGTAGGCAATATATGATGTAAGTGGTTTACACACTGGCTTACATCAATGTTTATGACATCAATCCATGTTGCAACATGCAATTTGTTCTGTCTTATTGCTTAATAATAACCCACTGCACATACATATACTGCAATTTTGCTTATTGGTTCACCAGTTTTTATCTACTATGCATAATGCTACTACAGAGAGTAATATATGGCTCTGATAGATAAATATTTTTATTTCTAATGAGTAAGTAGGAGTGGAATGGCTGGGTTTCATAGTTTATATTTAACCCTTTTTTTATTTTTGGGTCATACCCAGCGATGCTCAGGAGTTACTCCTGGCTCTGCACTCAGGAATTACTTCTGGCAGTGCTTGGGGGACTATATGGGATGCCGGGGATTGAACTCGGGTCGGTCACGTGCAAGGCAAACGCCCTACCCGCTGTACTACTGCTCCGGCCCTATATTTAACTTTTAAAGAAATTTACACTTTTTTTTAAAAATGGCTGTGCCATTTTTGGGGGGGTACCACATTCTGCTTCTTAATAAACCCCTGTGGCTAGTCATATTAACCGATTTAATAAGATTCTTGGGGAAAGGAAGATAGCTCTAAAAGCTGAAGATGTACTTTACACGTGGGCTCTTTGGGTTCAATTCCCAGCACACATGGCCAAAAAGTGGCCCCCGAGTACTGCCAGTTAGGGTTCAAAAATAAATGAAAACAAAATTCTGTGTAAACTCATCTTCATACACACAAATAATAATGAACTCCACCAGTGAATATTTATAAAGACCCAAAAGCGAATGTGATGTGGTAACTCACTGCTTCCACAAACCAAAGACCACAACATAGCCATCCTTTCCCAGAGACAGGAAAAGACAAATAACATGATCACACAAAATCACCTTTTAAACTCTTCTTACACAAACACAGATAATGAAACTATAATATACATGTTACCAAATATATCAGAAAGATTGGTGGTAGTATATTCAGCAAAACTGGAAAATTATGCTTTAAGTTCTTCTTTACATTTGAAGGGAACTCTTCTATTAGTTACACAAATAATACTTTAAAGATCACCCATGGAGTATCATACATTGATAATTTGCATCTTTTCATTTAAGAACATGATTCCATGTGGATATAAAATTTATCAGAGTATCAGACAACCACATGATGGCCCTCAGCTCTACCAGGTATATCCAGAGAGGCTCCCCAAGCATCACAGGGAGTGGCCATAAAAGCCTTCTGAGTAATACCAAAGTGGTACTGGTGGGTCCCAGTTCCTTCCTTGGGCCCTAGTATTAAACCATCTAGCCAGTTGACTAAGTATTACTGAGAGTGGCTTCTAGGATGCACACCTTGGGAGGCAAAAAAAAATTTTTTTTGTTTATTAGATGCCCAGGAAAGTGGCAACATGTATGGAGTTCACAAGTAGAAAACCATGAAGAGACACACTACTTCAGGGAGAATAGTAATCAGCACAAGCCTATAAAATCCTGTCACAAAAATATCAGATGCCACATCTTAAAAATGTCCAAAAGGATTAAAAGCCACTCCGTGGCATAATGACAGAACAAAATTCCTACCAGAGATGCTGTACGTTTATGAGCCATCTCAGCCATCACATTCTATTCCTAATACTAAAATTGAAAAGGAAAAGATGGAAGAAGTCTTTTTTTAAATTTTTAAATTTTTATTAGTGAGACACCATGAGGTACAGCTGCAGACTTACAAATTTTTGTGCTTGGGTTTCAATTATACAATGATCAAACACCCATCCCTCCACCAGTGCCCATTTCCCACCACCATGGATCCCAGTATCCCTCCCACCCCCCACCCACCCCCCACCTCACCCTGCCTCTGTGGCAGGGCATTCCCCTTTGTACTCTCTCTCCTTTCGGGTGTTGTGGTTTGCAAAAGAGGCAATGGGTGGCAATCATGTTTGG